TTGTATTCAAATCGTTTAGATTCTTGTGTTCATTGCCAATTTCAAATTTAGATCGATTTTCATTTTCTTGGTCTATTTGTGTCTTTCACATCTATTTATGCACTTAATTGTATATACATACACTCGGTTCTATCGGTTGAATCGATCGCAATCAATCAGTCTTGTTGCGGATTAATTAACAATCTTATTCATCTGCAATGTTTTAAAATGAAATTGAATTGTGGTGTGGGGCATGAAAAAGAGGCAAACGTAACTAATGTGATTGTGTTCACTTGAACTTTCTGTCAAATGTGTCATTTTTTCTACTCTCTTGTTTAGGACGAGCGATTCGAGGGAATGCGAAACAAGCAGGCGGCAGTGAAAAACATCTTGTCTCGTAATATGATGCGCAGCAGGTGAGCGTCAAAACATATAATTTTGTGCTGACTGAGAAATTGTCTCGTTATGATGAAAAATTGAGGCACGGAGCGCTTCAATCAATGAAAAAACTCCAACGAAAAAAAAAGAGAATTCTGAAAATTTGAATAATTTGCGCGTGTATGTTTTTTTTTGGCAACAGGTTTACGATGTTGGCGCTGATTCTGTCACATTCCTACCGGTTTCATTTCGTTAGAAATCGTATTAAGTTGTCGGGCGCAATGTGAACATGTGCGAAACTTTTTTTTTATTCATACGGTCTGCTTCATTATAATTTTGCAAATTGTCCGTAAAATACAAACGGGCTGCAAATCGGCGACTATTTTATTGCACATACACACATACACTCAGAATAGAAAGAGTCGGCTCCTTAGCCCATTATAACACCCATAAAGAAACAATTGACATTTAATGTCGTTGTATTTGTTCGACAACAGCAACAAAAAAAATTAGAATAGAGGACGAAACGACCATATAGTCTCAACAGGAGAACAATGAAATTGGTTTTGGTGTATGCGTGCAACACATCGTATATTCCGTTCGTTTGTACAATGCATAGGAAATGAAGAGCGTACTACAGAGAGGGAGAGAGAGAGAGAGAGAGAGAGAGAGAGAAAGAGTGAAACAAAAAACAGTATAGTACGTGCAAAGGCATACACAATGTATGAGATTTGTTGTGTCTTTGGCACGTTTATGTTGTTGTTCTCACTCTCAGTGTTCATTCAATCGTCATTACTTTATTCATTGCATGCTGTTCGAGACGTGCAACGTTGCATATACATATATATGCATGCGGTGGATACGTTGTTGAAATTGAGACCCGAACCATTTTGTCGGTTTATTTTGAAAGCGACCAGCATGAGCATGGAATAATAAAGAAATAATAATGAAATAGCAACAACAACGGCAAGAACAACATCAGCAACGACAGCAAATATAAAAAGAAAACGAACAGAGAAGTAGAAGTAGAAGAAGATCCATATCTTCAGAATATAATTCTATGAATTTCATAACACAAAAAGTGACGCGAGAGGAGCAATAACAGCAGCAGTCTGCCTGATTGGCTCACGAAAAAGGAAGAAAGAGACCAAAATCAAGAGAAGGAGAGAGAGAGAGAGAGAGAGAGAGAGAGAGAGAGAGAGAGAGAAAAAAAAGAAAGAAACCGAGAGAAGCGACACGGAGCACCACATATTCGATCTATACGAAGACGTAACGTGAAAATAATTCTCGACAGCTGTTAAGCGTCTTTATAACGCACATCCATAGCACCGGTTCTTTTCATCATCGTGCAGTTTTTTTCCCTTTTCTTCAACGAAGAAGAGACTGTGCTGCGTACGTTTTTCTGTAGAATGTGTTTCTCTCTTGTTGATTCGTTCTTTATTTTACTTTTTTGCTTCTCTCTGTTGATTTTGTTCCTTCGTTTTCGGTCGCCAAATTCCACTTATATCTCTCTTACTCATCCTGTTGTATATTGGTTTTCCGTTTTCAAAATGCTTGTTTGGCTTTTTGTTCCTCTTTACTCTTCGACACCATCCGAGATATTAAATCATAGTTGCAGCGCTCATTATCAAAGCGTTTCTCGTTCGGTGTCACGAAAATTTTTCATCGTCCACACCAAAATAGCACATTTTGTGGTTCTATTTGATCAATTTTATTTTTTCTTCGAAAACAATTACGAATAAACAAACTTTTGGTTCGTTGACCAGAAGATTGGGTGGAGAAAAAGCAAACATCGCATGTTGGCAAGAACCGTGTTGGCAAAACTTCATTTTTTAAAGCCTCACAAATTAACGATTTCTGACCGCGCTCGCGCTCACTACGATTACATAATCAATGTATACAATTAAATACTATTTTAAGACAAGATTCAACCGAAAGAACGAATTACGCAAAACCGAATTTAATTTATGTGCAGAATCTCATACGGTCCACAGAAGAAAGATCATTTCAATTTAAACGAATTTTTCAAATTGCGAAATTCAATTCAATAGCACTGCCCTTTGCAGTTCAAACAGGCGAATCGCTCTTCTAGAACACTTTTACTCGATACTGTGAACAAAGTCACATTAGTCACAATGCCAACATGTTTGTTGAATTTAAATTTCTCCCCGAATTAAAACCATAATTAATGCTATCAATTAAATTAAAATTTTCGCTTGAATCAACAACCTTCATCTATGTCGAAAAACAAAATTCACTGTGCTCACACAACTTTTCGGATTTTATGTATACATATATTTTCGCTGTGTATTTAGTTCAATAAATAACTCGATATGTTTCACGTTGTTCCACAATGTTAAAATTTGATTAAACTTTCAAAATTGATATTTCATTTGTAAATGGATTAAGAATAACGTATTTTTAAACTTTTTATTGATAAAAAAGAACTTTTCTCTCTCTCTCTCTCTCTCTCTCTCTCTCTCTCTCTCTCCCTCTCTCTCTTCCTTTCGTTTGAGTGTTAATTGAAATTTGTACAACACTATTTGAACTTCTGGAATTTGCTCTTCGAATATTCCATTCGAATTGCTCACAATTTGACGGTTATAATGTTTAGGTTGTTTCTTTAAATTTAAATTTAAACGAATGAACGAACGAACGACGCACGATTCAACAAAATTTAGAATATCAAAACAAAAACACTACTGGATCATTGAAAGAAGAAAAAGAAAAAAAAAACAAATTTTTTCGATGGGTTGTTTGTTCGAAAGAAGGCGTCATGGCACACTGATAAACCGAACGACAAAATGCATTTTCCAACGGTCGTGTTTGTCTGTTTGTGTAGTCTGCGTGTGCATGACATTGCGCGCCGACTGTTTTGGTTTCGTTCATCGTGTGTAGCCGTATTCTCTCTCCGGCTCCTTTACAACATTGCTTTAATGTGTGGCTGTGTTTATATCGTTCTTTCACTCACTCGTTCGTTCAATTTTGGCCGCCGCGCACGCCGTCATCATCATCGTCGTCGTTTCAATATGAAATTCGTGTGTTCTTCGTTCCGATTCTATCTAACACGAGACAGAGCGAGAAACTATCGTTTGTCCATGTGTGTATGTGTGTATATGGTGTTGTTACACGCGTGCGGCCCATTTCTTTTCATTCACAAACTACCAGCTAGTTTTAAAAATGCCAGCAGCAACCAAATAATCTAATTGAAAATGCTGAATGGCATGGGCGCTATGCTGTGTGTGTGTGTGTGTGTGTGTGTGTGTGTCTTAAACGATTTGAGTGTGAGTGAGTACGCGCATTTGGCTAAAGGTGTATATGTGCATAGCCTTGCACAAGAGCACCGTATGCCATTGTCGATGAATGATGCGAAAGAGACAACCGAATCGACGCAAAGACTGAAATACGTTGCGTGCGTATAGTTGTACATTTAGTTGTGTGATGCCGTACTACGCTCTGCATGCTGGCCGAAGATTCTTAGTTTTAAAATGAGCAGAAGAATGAAGCCAGATAGAGAGCGAGAAAGAGAGAAAGAGAAAACACGTACACCGAACTACTATTGTTCACTTTGTACCGGCATACAGCACCGACAATACGCTCCGGCTGTGCACATACCAGTGCAACGGTTTGTATTCGAACAATCGCGTTATCAATGTAATTGTAAATCAATGTCTGAACTCCTAACCGAGTTCGTGTTGGATGTGAAAGAGACGACGAAAACAACCTGAACATAGTGTAACTACTATAAACCGTTGTATGTTGTAAAAAAAAATAATTCTCTTCAGCATTCGGCGCAAATACGCAAAGTAAACACACGAAATGCAAATATACGAACACTGAAACTCACCCAAATTTATGCATCGGCATTTCTGTGTAACACTTAACGGCTTGCTTTCGAGCTGGCCATCATCGGCACAGTTTCAATAGGTTCTTTCGATTGAGAGGTAACATTCTGACTGACATCAATATAATTTGCATCGTGGTGTCAACTCTAAATTGAGTACAACGATCCAAATTGAAAGTAATTTGTCAAGAAAAGACATAAACAATGAACTATATACATTTTATACCGTTCGTTATTACAAACGCAAATTTTTCGCACGTCTACCATCTGTGTCAATGTAAATGCCGGGATCCATTCATTTCTTCTCCATTACTTTATTGAAATAGCCATACGAATGAGTCAATGAATAACAACAATAGAGTACACAATTGCATATTTACGCTCTATTACTGTGCCACCTTCCGACCAGTAGTCGCATTTATTGTGAGCTGAAGCGGTTATTCCAATCAGAATTTTCGAGAATTCCGTTTTGTACCCTTTCTGTCGAATCGATTCTTTTCTTAAAGTTTCTTTGAATGCAAATATTTTCATAGTTCAAACAATTGAATGATTTTCAATAGGGTATAAAATTCGGTTGAAACTCGCATTCAAAACGAGGAAAAAGAAACTTTTTCGTTTCTTCCACAAAATAAATTCGGAATAAAGAATTTTTTTTTGTTGGCGGGTAAAAAGTTTTCCATGGGATATCATCTCTGAGTGGATGATGAACATGAGCACTGTGTTTCAAGATTGTATTCACCGGTATTCCCGTTTCGGAGGATCAACTTTGAATAGGATTACTTAAAATAATTGCACTTACCTATGCCGCATGAATAAGCAAGGTAGAGAACGGCTTCGCAATCGATCTAACTCTTTTATCTTCGCTCCAACACTGCTGATGCTGTTGCTGCCAGTGCTGTTGTTGTTGTGCCGCATCCCGTACACCGGTGACCTAAATATATTCGATGAAAAAGGTTGTTGTTTTTTTTTATTGAGTTTTCTCTCATCAATCTTCAATTTTCAATAGGTGTTTTTTTTACTGATTGTGTATGTTTGCATGGCAAAATGAGTTGATATCCATATGTGATCACAAAACGGTAACAAAGTATATGTGTGTGTGTATGTTTACCTGTTCCTCCCACGGCTTGGATACGCATCACATGTTGATGCCCGCAACAGTTTCGGTGATCCAACTAATTTCGGTGTTTTTTTGGCATCGCCAACACTACGTTTTGTATTACAATTTGCTTGTAATAGCTTCGAGCGCTCACGTGTTATTGGCATTTCACGTTCATCCAACGACAAACCGAAGAAGCTTCGTAAATATTTCTCACCGGATGGCGGTTTACCCATCAATTTATGATTGCTTTTCGTTTTACTGGCATTTATTATTATTGATTCATTGGCTTTGGTGACATCGTCGTTTACAACCGAATCATAATAATCATCGTCGTTTATATTGTTACTATTAATATAGTTCACTGATTGATTTTGCATACGATTCACATAGATTGGTTCAATGGCGGCGGTGGTGGTGTTAGTGACGACGGCGCCGGTGGTTTTGATGCGTGTCGCATGTGATTTATGTTCGTTAAATGGCGCAATGCCATCATTTTTCGAACGCACATTATTATTTGGCGACGGCGGCGGCGGCGGTTGGGGCGTTCGATATTTTATTACTTTTTGGTTGTCAATCAATCCACTATCACTATGATTACCCGTTTGACCACAAGCACACGACGAATTAGCGCAACTGTAACTGAAGTGTGAAAATAATAATAGAAATAAAGAAGAAAAAAGCCAAAATCAAACAACGAAACCGAAAAAATTCAACTGAAAAACATGTGGAAATAAAGAAAAAATCGGAAATTTAAATGAACCGAGAAAAAAACCGTACGAACTAAGGGAAGATCCGGTGGAAGTGCAAGGTGGAAGTATTTTTCATTGTTTCGGGTTGTTCTAAGCATTTGGTTAAGTCATTTTTTTTTTGGTTATAGTTGCAAATTGTTGGTATTTGTTTGAGATTTGTTTAGTAGTGAGGGATTTTGTTCGTGTAAGTTTTGCTATTTAGTTTCTTAAATACCTTGCGGATGGTGTGGCTGACGCTTTGGTCGTTTCACGACGTCTTTGATTCAAATACGATTCCGCATTGGCTTTATTACCGAAATAATATTCGGACATGAGTTTCGCCTCTTTGCTCATATTATCACTTTTGCCATTGCCACGTATATCGTAACTGACATTGAAATCGCTTGCATTTAAATCATAATCTGAACCGGGCGATGCCTTTTTGTGATTCGAATGCATACGCTTTGTTGGCGAATGATCTCTGGTTTGGAGCTGCTGCTGTGACAACGGGATTGCCGATTGTAAATGATCAAAACTTTTGGTCATCGCTGCACGGTACATGATTTCACGGTTTAAATTCGGTGAACGTTCTCCTTCGCGTTTTCCACGAACCGACGATAATGTATGCTTCGGGTGGGTGGACTTTGCCTCGTGCTTATACGCCATCAATGGTGAGCGTGTTAAGGATTTTCTTGATTTATCATATATCATTTCGGGATCATAATATCGATTACCATAATTCTGTGGACTGCCTGGTTTCACAGGAGCCGCTTGTTTCAAATTATTTGGATAATTGTCTATATACTTTGACTGTGCCACTTGATCGCTATAATTTTCGTCAAACGATCGACTTTTGTCGAATTCCGTTCGCGAATTACCTTGATACCGTTCGTATTCGGAGTCGAGCGAACGACTTTTCTCCAAGTCCGCATTTCGTACATCTTTGTATTGTCGTTCGTTTGTCACTGCCAGCCGATTATTATTTCCATTATTAGTAACGAATCGTCGATTTGCCGACGTCGATGCGACTCGATTGATTGGCCTCTCTTTTTGCCCATTATTGCCACTGATTTGAACTACAGTTTTATGCATTTTACTTCGATTCGGTGATCGTTCGGTTAATTGGAGTGATCTAAAACAAAGCGAGAAAAAAACAGAACGTCGGGAAATTTGTTATTCAAATTGATGATTCTATCGTGTGTTTATATCAATTTGAATTCATATGAGCTAATCTTTTTACATTTTTAATTTTGTGATTCAATTAAGAAAATTGTATGTTCACGTTCAATCAAGATTACATTAGAAAAAATAAATAAACACTTGGCTTAAGGGCCCGGCATAAAATGTTGACCGATTTTCGGTTTTGTTTTTCTTCTTTTGGTTATTTATTTTGCTTACCTAGAACGTCTAATGCGATTTTCACCGGGCGATTTTCCACTGGCCCGATTTTTTGATCGTCGAAAGCCAATAAGTTCATTTTCAGCTTCACTACAGCTTGAGCTGGATGAGCTTCGTGACGAAATGAATGTTTTTTCGGGCACTCTCAGGTGTTGACGGTCAAGCGTATTATTTCGTAATGAATTTTTATCCAATAAGGATCCTTGAGATCCCTCGAAAGAACTGTGATTCAAGCGCTTTTCAGTCGGTTGTGCTTTGGTTCGGTGAAATGATGTGATTTGATCATCGGTCAAATTTTCGGGTGTCAACGAACGTTGCTTGAGGCTAAGATTTTGCAGCTGCTGCTGTTGCTGTTGCTGTGGTTGTTGCTGTTGCTGTTGTTGGTGCTGCTGTTGTTGTTGATTTAATATGTGACGCGCTCGTTGTGTCTTATTTGGTGGTTCTTCTTCCTCATCGGCTTCATCGTTCGACAAATCTGTTTCGCCGAATAGAGATAAACACAACATAGAATTTCAGTATAAACACACCGTTTCAAACGCAAAGATAAACAAATCGAGGGAAACAAGAAATGAGATGAAAATACATACCTGAACGAGCTCCACTGTCGCATGAATTCAATCGTTTGCTGATTGAATTCTGGTGTGCACGGAAACCGGCTTGGCTACCCGACGATGAGGATGAGTCTTGTTTTGGCACGTGGCCGCGACGTGATACCGGCTGTTCAATTACATCCGAACGCAATGAGTACGTGGATCGTGCACGCGTTTTACGCGTCGATTCTACATATTCCTTTGGCTCCAAATACTGTTGATACACATTGACCGATGGTTCGCGCTGGTTTGCTCTCGATTTATCCGGTAGATAGTTCGATGAAACGCTGGTTAAGGTCGGGAATGCATTTTCTTTTTCGGATTTTGCCTCTTCTTTCGTAGGGCTTAAAAAGTCATAGTCAAAGCTCTTCGAAAATGTATGGTCATATTCGTACGGTTTACGGGTATCATATTCAAAGCTGCGTGAGAAAACCATTTTGCCGGTGCTGTCTTGGCTGCCATTTGCTGTGGCCAATTTCGATGTTTGCCGAATGGTTTTACAGTCTTGGAATGCGGGCGGTGGCGATATGATTGGCGTAATCGGAGGCGGTGACTCATTGTCATCATAAGTTTTGATTGGCAAAAAACCGGGCCGTTCGCTTAGCATGGCCGATAATTGTGGATCGATTGTACATTTTACTTTACGAATTTCGCTGCGCGTTATGAGCGCCTCCAATTTGCTTGTGGTCGTATTACTGTTCGATTGCACCAGATTGCTATTATACTTTTGAAATGAATTGTTTGTGTCTGGCCGATGATTGTTGTACGGTTCTCGAACCTGCACCCATCCCGATTTATTCAAGTAGATTTCGTCGGATTTAATCGGCTTTTGGTAGTGTTGTTGCTTGTTTCGTTCGCCAAACAAATACTTTGGCATTTCGTTCGGATTATGATAATGCATTTTTGTCGTTTCAATGTTCGTTTTCTGTGCGGTGGCGGTGGCGGTGGCGATGGCGGTCACGGTCGTTGTTTTGTTCACCAATTGCTCTAAAGTATTCTTTTTGGTGGAACTTCGTTCGAGCGTGGCATTCTTTCGATGATCACAGTGCCGTTTTTTGTTTGTCTTGTAGGGCAAAGTGAAATGATGTTCGATGATTGGTCTTCGTATACGTCGGTCTACTTTAGCATTGGTTGCATCAGCCGTGCCACGTTTCAATTGGCCATCATACGTTGCGCTGTTACTTGTGGTTGCCAATTTTGCTTTCGTACTCTTTGGAATCGTATTTATTTTGTCTCTGAAAAATTAGCGTATTGATGTTTGATGAAAAAAAACACAGAACAAAAAAAGCAAATTAAAATTTGGTCGGTTGATCATGTTTCGCCGCATTTTACTCGGGCGATATAATCAACACGGTTTCAAACTAGGCAATATAGCTGTTGAATCGACGGTGTATATGGATGTGTGTGTGCGCACCTGCACGTTGAATTTCATTAACAAATATTTACTCATTCAAATATATTCAAATGGGACTAATCAGCGGCTGAGACGGCATTATTTCGCCGAATATTGAAATAATTACAAAAACCATATACACGCACACACTTTGCGGGCGCAAACCAGACCGCACATTCATTCAAACGGCTTTTGTATACCGCTTGCAAGATTAATTTCATGAATTTCGACCATAATAACTTTAGATTTTTGATGATGCCGAGACCAAGATGAGATGAGATAAGATGCGATGAAAAACAAACAAAAGCGCGAACAATTCATTTAATGAGACCGAATAAAAGAGACTTCTAAGCCGTCTTTCATCGCATGAAAAGTGGAATGTTAATTTTCACCATCCACGAAGGCGAGGACGAGCGTAAGTGAGAGAGTGAAATCGAGTGACGCTCGCGTTGATGGGCTTGACTCATGAATTGATTGTACAAGTACCTGAACTGCACTAGAACTTGAGCAATTTAAGAATTATACTTGTCGTCATCGTCGCCGCCCGCCTACTCGTTAAAAGTCATAAACAAACTTCAGCCAGTCGAGGCGAAAAGAAAAAAAGAAGCAGCGAACAGAGAAGAGGCAAAATGAAAGAGAGTGAGAGTGAGAGTATGAGAGAGAACTTTGTGGTAAGCACTTGAGGCGCTCACTTTCACACGCTTTCTGAAAGTCAGTTTATGTCCTTTCAATTTTCTGCTCATCCATTCCCTAGCGCATAATTCGATTAGTGCTTTTTACACAAAGTAAACAAACATGCACACAGCACCACTTCACATTAGCAAAATCCAACAACAAGCATTTTCACATCCGTAAACCATTTGGAACAACATACAAAATCATACACACGTACACACACATTTTGTAATGTAGCAGCATATATACGACGGTTAGCAGCTGGGGAACTAGAAACATCGACCACACAACGTTAAAACAATGTCATTTCTAATGCACCATAAATAATAGCTCGATCGTGTCAAGATAGCAAAGTGGGAAATTGCACAGAACGCAACGTCGAGTGTTCTCTCGCACTCTCTCTCTCTCGCTCTCTTCCTCCATCGCTGCCATTTAATTGCATGATGATTTTGGCTAAATAAGAGTGCGAATGAATGCGAAATTGAAATGGTTGACGCTCATTCGTCATGCACATCGGAATGGTTGTTTTCATTTCGTCTACAGATTGTCTGGTTATCCTTGGCTTAGTTTGCACAGACACACAAACACGTATAACGAGTCCGTATGGACTCAGTACACACGAGAAAATTGATGGCAACTTATTTAGGCAAAGTGGTGTTGCCCAAATTGTTTCACATACACAATAAAAGAGCAACCAAAAACCAAAGTACTTGTTTGAGCGAATTGCGTCGTTGCGTGATTTCATCCATATAAAGCGAGTATGCTGTGCGACATCACAATAATAACAACATTGCACTTTGTTTTAGTAGCACTTGAATTTCACTTTTTTTCAGTTTCTCTCTTATCTCTGCGTCGTCGTTTACATCAGGGCGCTAAAGGCACTCCGTGTGTGTGTATGTATATGATGGCAGGCGCCAAACTTAAATAAACGAAGATTCGTTGTGTCTAACAAAATTAACGCATATTTTTATTCCATTCAAACGATTCTGGGGAGCTCGTGAGATGCTTTACTTTTATAGCATATTGGGGGATGGCTTTATAGTCGAGTTTATTGCAATTATCTTTGGCACAGCAATAAAATTCACATTGAATAAACGGTGGCCGAAAACACAGTAGAACAAAATAACACTCGAAATGAGGAGTTATCGCGGACTAAAACACCGATGGAGAAAGAAAAATCCGTCCGAAACATTTAAAACAATACGAAAGTAACGGTTGAACTACGCAATTGTATGATTTCATTGTACTATGATAATTTGATGTCGAGTGCCGAACAAGTAACGAGTTGACAAAGTAAGAAGCTCGCGGCGATGCCAGCAAATTCATCAACATCGTCATCGCAGCGACGAGCGAAAAAAAAAATCGAAAAGAAGAAACAGTACAACAACATCACGTTGCCGAATGCCAAAAACTCTATATATACACGGGTCAAGTTGCCATGTACGGGGAAAACTGATTTGGCCATTCTAAATATGGTAATGCGGTTGCGACAACCAAATGTTAATGAACAAATAAATATCAGCACGCGTGAGTTCGTTATGTTCGATCGTTCTGTCGAAGTCATGCGTTTATTATTTCGAATGCAATGTGTATTTTCCATTTCATTTGCTTGGAGTTCGTTTGTCTCTTCAACAGAAAAAAACATCGAATGTTTGACTTGTCTTTCTATTGTACAACGTGACTTTTTCCTTCTTCGTCTTCTGTATCTCACTCTCTCTCTCTCTCTCTCTCTCTCTTTCTCTCTCTCTCTCTCTCCCTCTCTCTCTCTCTTTCTCTCCCTCTGTCTCTCTCTTTCTCGTCAAGCTTGCCGTTTTCGTCAGACTTAATTCGACTTGAGCGTCTTGGCAACGTATTTTATGTCAAACACCAGTAAAAGATCAGACCAAAACTTTTTGATATATTCAACGTTTTATCCATTCAGTCTTCCATTGCCGGTCTGTTGTCGGTCATCTCATTGATAACATTTCCTTTTGGTTCTTCTTCTTATTTTTTTTTCTGTACTTCTTGGGCGTGAAGAATATAAAGAAAATGCTCTTGCTCGCACAATACGTAAAACGCTATGATTTTGTTGAATTAAATTCGCACAGTTGAATGAATAAAATATGAAGCGCGAACCATGTTTTTCTCCACCAGCTCAAATGATATTTGCTTTTGGACGTTGAATAAGAACAAAAACAAACACACTGTTTTTATCTCTCTCTCGTCGATTCGATTCAGCGGATATTTTTCTTCGCCGAATGAAACTTTTGCTAGAGTCGAATTTTTAGTGATAACTATATGTATGGACAAAGGGAAAATTGTGCCAATTTCAACTTTGTATTTGTAACGAAGTGTGAGAGAGGAAAAAAGTGATTTCCGAAACTTTTTTCATTTCAGCAGAAGAAACATTTGCGAGAAGAAGAAGAAGAAGAAGAAGAAGTCGAAAAAGCATTTTTATTAATGATTCGAATGCAATTTCGAATTTCTTCCAATTAAATAAGGTCCGGTTACACTATGACATTAAATAAGCATCTACTTTAATATTTGTACAAGTGTGCAATTGTCCGTGGCGAAAATTACAGTGCTAACTTATGTTGCTGTTTTTGTTTTAAATGTGAATGATCGAGCAATGGTAGCGGTGGTGGTGGCGACGGCGAGGTGGCAATGATGCTCCATTTCAACTACTGTTTGGAGATGCATTGTATCATTTATTTAAATGTTGCTTGTGTCATTTCAGTGCGTGTATCTGACTTATGCAACTGTACACATGCACCCTTTCACCGCTTCACACTCTCTCCCTCTCCCTCTCCCGCATTTGGTAGCCCTTTCGGCCGGTATCCATCGTTACTTTGGCTTTGTGTATGAGAGAAAATTTTCAATTTTCACACCGCCCCCGTTTGGTGGGCGGATGCACAAAGTAATTATTTTCACATTGAATTTATAGTGATATTTTCAGAACAGATCCATTTTCTGTATAGCACATTCCGATTGCAAATAATAGCATGTCATTCGTGTCATGCATAGTTTGGCATTTGCTCATTAATAATGCTCGCTTTTCAGATGTTCATTTAAAAGGAAAACCCAAATGGCGTATGTGCACTGTACACTGTGCATTGTGCATTGTGCATTGTGCATTGTGGAGTGCAGCGCACTCACTCTGTTGCTGATGCTGCTGCTGCCGCCCCAGAGAGAAAAACAGACGGAGAGAGATAGAGAGATATGTGTGTGTATGTGTGTGGAAATGCTACGGGTTCTGGTGCTGACACACGCTCACTTCTTCGCTAGGTCACGGTTGCCATGGCCAAAATAACATAAATTGTCAATTCATAAACAAACAATTACACACGGAAAACATACAAACATTCAAAACAGTTGCCATTCAATTATTTAATTATAACGCATCACATCACGCATCACCATTGCCGCATCGGATGACATACACACTAAATAAATTTCAACGAAGAAAAATCGATCTTCATTCGAGACTTTTTCAACACATCATTATGGATTTATTCCGTATTGACGCAAATAGATGCAAATTCATGGCTGTGTGGTGGAAATTATTTATTCTAGTTATTTGGAACGATCTATGAAAAAAATTTTATACATTTTTCATATAAATTTTGATTAGGGTTTTACATTTCCATTCGAAATCCATTTTGGTTGTGCTATAAATGATGACAGGAAGTTGTTTTCAAGATGGACACTGCTGTGGCAATATTTTTTTAGTGGTGTATAGTGGTTGTGGTAGAGTGGTTTTAAAAGCGAATCCTACAATTCAAATAAGCCATTCGCAAAAGTGTATCGCATTTTAGATGAGATCATACCCCATTCAAATCAATATATTTTAAGATCAACATTTTTTTCATCCAGCGTTTAAGCAACGAATTAAACTATTATCTCCCTTTGTTGAAGCCAGACAATGTTCGGGACGTTTTAGCAAGTACTTTATTTTACCAACTTAATTCAATAATACGTGTATTGAGAAGAAAGGAAAGAGAGCGTTGTTGCTTAAAAAATATTTTGATCATACAGTTTCATCTTTGGTGCACCTGCAAACACCCCGAACTCAGACTGTTTTAATAATTTAACGTTGAATAATCCTTATTGCATCAAATGCGCTTATCTTCCCCTAGATATTTTTTTTCGTCCATTCATTCAGTGCAAAATGATGCTACTTATGCAAAA